AAGTTGTTTGCACGAATGCGCCTGCGCATAAGTTGCATCTCCAAAGGCCATTAAGATTCTAGAATGTTGGGGAAGTCTGTTCCGGTGGAAAAATACCTGAAAGTTACGTTCATTGTATGTGAGTCATCCTTTTCCACAATTCGCGATTTTCCCCATCCGTTAAGGTACTCAAAGTCGGCGGTGTTTATTCACCTGGGGATTTAGTTCACTTAAACAAATCGCCATCGAAAAGGATTTTCAATATTACAGGAGCATGCACATTATACATAGACACACTATGAAATGAAGTGGCAAGTCTGAAAATGCCGTAGATTTCGAGAAATCAATCTCATTGTGCGAATCGCCAGCGGCAAAATTGGCCAAGCTGAAGTTGAACAGAACTACATATAAGGAAAACTTCAGTTTGTCGAAATATTAACTGTGGCCTCGAAAGCCCAGGTACTGTTAGTTTTTTTCGATTTGACAATACTCAGTTAGCCTTCGGTGGTGAACAAGACCTGAGTAATACACATTTGGGTAGCTAGGGAGGCGAACGGTTCCCGAATGAGGAAAACAAACACACAAGGCTCACACTCGGACTTCCATAAGGTTCCGGTGAAGGGGCAGACATAAGAACTAACCGTCTGAAAATATTTCGGGTCTAAGCCGCCAGATGCTGTTAGAAACTTTTCCCCATCCTGCATCAGTCTATTTGATGCTACATCAACTAGTTTACGGGATGCCCAATGTGGATCGGGATCTGGTTGGACGCATATAATAATTATTTTCATTTCCGACTTGTGAGTGTCATTTTTGCATCATCATAAGGCTACAGCCAGAATAAGCACATGACTGGCGGGCACTGTAGGTAAAGGGTTTTCGGGAAAAGAGATGGCGTCATAGGCAGTGGGCATTATCCGATGCAGTTGTGGTTACCACTTAACCGGCACTGTACTTTTTTGAAGGGAATACCGAGCAACATCAGATCGTGGTGGGAAAAATAAGAGGCTTCCAGCCTGACATCACGAGAAAAGTGTAAGCGGTGGAAACTGAAGAACCAGAATATCAGATCTGGCAAAGTAGCAGATTTGGCGTCATCCAGCCGGTCAAATTGAACTAAAGCCTAAAACCACCGCTGAGGCCTCATAGTTCAGTGGGCCCATGGCCATGGTCACAAAAAGCGTAAGTGAGGATGATGAAGTGGAGGGACTAGCAAAGCGGATAAATGGTAACAGGAATCTCGGAATCATGGTACACAGTGAAACCGTAGGGACTCACTGATGTCGCTGTTATGGAGTCCCGCATGTCGTCAGGAGTTGAATCACAAGAACAAAAAGCAGATCCGAAATAACTCACTGATGTGACGTGCACACTATTTTCGAGTGTGAGCCCTTCGTTTTGCGGGATAAACCTTATGGAGGATATGCTCAGGCTATCGGTATGTTGTATACCATTTTGAGAAAGACGGCTGTTTGACATGCTTCCACGGTGACCCGAAACTAAAGTGATTCAGTTGCACATGATGGTGAACCTACGATCACTTAGATGTCCGAATTGCATCAAAGTCCAAGTTGTTACTATCCAATGAATGGTTTCCTACTGGAGAACCCATCAAATCGAGTTGTGGAGTGCGCCGGCCGCTGGCGGGGACTGTCTGCAAGAAAAACTACCACGTGGTTATGGAACATGTGTGCTTCCTGTGTGCCTTGCCTGTGTGAAAACAATACTGCACAGGCAAAATGGCATTCGTTATCGTTTTGTCCGTTACGAAAGTCCGTATCTCATACTGCTAATGCATCACCCGAGTGAATAAAGTGCCCTATTTAGACAGGCAGCGAAATATTTGCTTTCAGAGGCACCATACATGCCTGGTGGATTGATTCCCATGAAATCCATAATGAAATAGATGTAAGAGGAATCTGAAGCAAAGTTTCACAAAAAAGCCAACTAAAATGAACCGATACACGCGCGAAAACAAGTTACCGAGTCCCTAAAAGATTTAGAGGCAGATCTACCCTACCTTAACAGTGACCAATTCCTCGGTCTTGACTTTTCAGGCTGGACGTCAGCTTCAACGATGAAGAAAATTTTTTCCCCGCAGGCCGCGAATGATCCATCTTCTTTGACTTCCCATGCTCGAATAACGTGAATACTTTTCAGGCGTTCCTTCACAACCTTTCCGAAAGCCAGAAAAGAGGATTGCCTTGATGACCAATTACTTTGTAAGATCTTCCCACATACACAGACATGAGCAGAACACGCTCATCAAAGGAAAGTGTTAAGCATTTGAATTTAATACACGGACCTCGGGCATGTTTGAAAAATTAAGGAAACCATGATCCCCAAGAGGGAATTTGATGAATGCCATCAAACGGGACAAATTTTTGACTGTCTTCTGATCGAGCAAACATTTCGGAGAAATTTTAGACACGCATTCAAAGGTTGGTCTATTTCCTTCTTTCAAGTGCCTATTATTTTCTTTGCCCACCTACCGCAGCTGTCGGAATGGTGCAGATTTTTTGCCGCAGACCTGCTTCTAGATTACTGAAGGCAAAATCTGTCGGTACACCAAAATATCTTGTCGTTTATTTTATCTCACATATGTTTGTCTGTCTGTTCCCCGCGCCTCTATTCTCTACGTAGAAATAACAAGCCTAAAACTGTAAGAAGAAAGAAAACGCAGATTATGGGCGGTAACATAAGAGATGAAAATGCAACAAAAAATAAAATGACCAATAATTGACATTTTGCACGTTTGTTCGGCCTGACATTAACCGATGTATTGTATATCCACCGAGTATCAGAACTTCAAGTACCCGATACGGCTTGCTCACTCAGACGTTCCGGGATATTTCCGCATGATTCCCGTTTTACTGCCCCTTGTATGAGGCCAAACCTGCGGCATCAAGGAAGCCAGCCGAAGGCCGTGTTCCGACCTTGATATCCGCGATTGCAAAGGGCGGGTGTTTCGAATGGTCTAAGCCGGACAATGCAGAGATCAGTTTTTCACGACGTTAGCTCCAGAGAAATATTTGGAAACCGAAAAAAGAATGCAACTTGTAAGAAATTCGGCTTTCGTCTTTTTACTGCACATAGCTAAGCGGATACCTGGAATTGGTGTGGAATACTTTGAATGCCGTGCTTCCCAAGCTTATCGCTTACACTCCATGCTGGACATAGTAGGTTGCTGTATACTCTCATTTATTTCACACAACAGAATTCTCCTCCCTTTGCCTGTGATTTCTCTCCAAGTTAGTATTTCGCTGCACCCTAATTTCTTAGCGTTTTCTGATCTCATCCTTATTGCACAAGAAGACGGCCTAGTCCACTTATACAATACCTCACTAGAAGGAGCCGTTGCCTTCGTTCAAGGTCAGTTATCTGTAACATTTCGTTTATATAAGTGGCCTGGTTTGCCTTGACTTGAAACCGTCCGCTGACGTCAAGCTGCCAATCAACTTGTGCCATGCGTTGTTTCTGCAATTTGCTGGAAACTTTTCTCTTCTGCGTGTGTTCCCACTACTTTTCACTCCTTCAAAAAGGTGGCTTTCCCTCCTCCAATGCCTCTGCAAAGCTGTCCGTATATCCGTATAATTTGTCGTCTCGAAGGACCTAGTGAATACGCCATATATGTCTATATCCATATCGCCCTACCAAACAACGTCTGCAACCTCATCATGTTTGGTTCATGATCTTAAGTGCCTGAAAATGATGACGGGGCTACTAATCCACTGATAAAAATAGAGAGATAGTCTTCTTACAGTCTACGACTTTGCACTTCTCTCCTCCGCTTCATGGCTCACGATCTTTGTGTCTACATAGTGACTTGTAAAACATTTTCTACGAAATGTTCCGTAGCCCCTCTGGAGCATAAATAGTAGGAATTAACCATAAAGAACAGTTTCTTCTGATCAAATCCGTGTGTTTGCTTTACCGTTACCCAGACCCTTTCGGTCACGTAAAATGTCTTGACAAACCATTGTTGAATTGCCTCTGTACCATCTACCCAGTTGAAAAGATCTTGGGTAATTGAAAGTCCCATCAGATTGCCCAAGACACTGAAATGTTTAAGTCCCACAATTTCTCGAACTTGCCTCAGCGTGTGACATCCTGGACACGGGAATACTGGCTAGGAAGTTAGACAAGCTTCTACTGATTGGTGTCACACGTTGAGTATCACCAAGATCCTGCCCAACATCTGTGCTAGGGTCAGATTCCTCGAGGCGGCCGGGAGTCGTAAAACACTGGACCCACCTAAAAGTTTGTTCAAGGTGATTTACTTGGTCTGGATATGCTGGTTTCCGTCTGTTCGCCTGACGGTCCTCGTGTATCCCCCTTGGCACAATCCCTGCACAGGTATAACGAGCATATGCAGTGAATAACACATTGCCAAATCAAGTTTGATCACATTCCTATCTGCTGGCTTTAGAGATTAAGCTAATGGAAAAAGATCTAAGCGAGATGCTTGATTCCTCCCCATGTACTATATTTTTACGTGGCCGCTTTTTCAGCTTATGCTCGTTGACCGATTCTGATGCTTGAATATGATCGAATTCCGTGCAGTGAGAATAAATCACCGCTGCTCGACCGAATAATGGCAAAAATGTGTCCATTTTCCCGTGCCGGAAGTAACGGTATTCGTAGCGTTAAATGGATACGGGTGGCTATAGGGAAACGGATCACTAAAAACAAGCCTTTATCAGCATATTTTATCACAGAATCAGCTGCCGTGTGTTTATTATCGTGGAAAATGACCCAGTTGATTAATGACTGCTCCATTTCAGCCTCAGACTAGGCGTACATCCAATAGGTTGTGTGCTCATATAGCATTATCTCGTGAACTAGGCCAATAGAATCATCGTCGACAAAGCGTATAGCAACATAATCCTGAGACTGTGGTAAGTTTTGTCGTTATCAAAGACAGCAACATCAGTGTTGACACTGATGCTTCACTGCTATATAACCATAAGGTTCGTCTGTTTATGTTTAAAGCCCTAGAATGAAATGAAGAGAAAAAAGAGTGAGAGAATGAGGGAAGCTAGTGCTGGTCTATGTCAAGCATTCTGAGGTGCCCGCACCTCCAAGCACTCAATCAGACAATCTGGAAAGCAACTGACAGCACGAACGCCACTGACATCGATTAGCCGCCATTTCTTGCAGCGTCTCCAGCCAGGTACAGGTGGGGTCACGGAGACCCCATCCTGGAAGGCGTACAACACCAACAACGCCCAAGTCATGCGTTGTGCACCTCGCAGTTTGCTCCATTCTGAAGGAGGCACGGAGAACAACACTCGTCGCGGTAGACGGTCTTTCAGCATGCGTAGCACATGGCAGAGCCATCGTAGTCAGCGGTGCTGGATGTTTTTCCTGATTAAAGTACCTGGCTGACAACCAAATGCCCATTTTCTAATCAGTTCGTTACTAACACGCTGACGCCACCCAAAGCCAGACACGCTTCTGAGGCATCGGTGGTCGAAAGCCCGAAGACGTCTCACACCATCTGTGCGCAGAGGCCAGGTCTCGCACCCATACAACAACACAGCCCTTACTGTAACCTGTTACACATGACCCTTAAGATCTAGTGAGCTGCCTTTTTGACGCCACAAGTGACGCAAATTAGCAAACGTGATTCGAGCATTTGAGATTCCCCCAGCGACTTCATCAGACACATTTCCGTCACAACTAATACAACTACCGAGGTTTTTCACAATCTCCAGTGATTCTCCTTGAATTATAAGGGATGTGTTCGCAGATAGGACTTTCTGAAGCGTGACTTTGTACTTTGAAGGTGCGAGGTCCATGCCGAAAGATGATATGATGGTGGTCAGTTTATTCAACAGGGCTTGTGCTTCGCTTTGGTCTTCAGAGATGTCCTCAGTGATGTCCTTCAACTCCAGATCGACAAGGCTCTCGCCAGCAACAATTTGAACACCGGGGTTTTGAAAACCGTCCAGTGTTCGCCTCATTATTTCGTCGATGACGAAGTTGAACAAGAATGGGGAGAGTGGACATCCTTGTCTGACACCGCTTTTTGTAGGGATTTTTGCAGGGGAGCTTTTGGAGAGCTCACCATACACTCACCCGCCCAGAGGTATGCGAATATTGGGATTGGATTAGTGCTGAGACCTGTGGAAGGAATATTCAAGTTTGGGTGTAGTAGGGTAGAAGAGGGAAACCGTGAAAGTGTAAGGAGGGAGGTTTCAGCAGTAGCGTGCTTTTGCCTTCACGCCCTGATGTATGCAGCAGGTAAGGCGACCCGGCTGTTAACACCACGCGAAGGCCGATGTGGCACGAAAGTATCGTTTGTTGTAATGGTCGTGTTTATACGTGGGCTGGGATACTACCAAAGCGCCCAAACCTAGACAGGTTGACGATTAGGGTCCTCAACCAAAGCCTTTGGCTCAAAAGGCTAACCACAAGGCAGCAGTGTTTAGCGGGAAATGCAAGTGTACATCCATTTTTATAGAACAAGTCGCAACGCATGTTCTAACCCCCAAACTGGAGGGTCAGGAGTCCTCTAACCAGTGACCAACCTGGTATTAGAAACGCCGTGGGTGTCGCTCAATGGATCACGGAGCCACACAAACCGTCACACCATTGTAAGGTCCAGTCTCTTCGTGTCCGCATCGCATTCCACAGAGTAAACAGGCGAATAACGGGAGAATGTGGTGAGAACTACTTCAATCTGATGTCGTCATCTGATAGATCTGTCAGATGAAACCTTTTTGTCGGTCGGTTGAATCGCACACAAAGACTCGGACAATATTCCGCGCAGTTGATTCGTACTGACGTGTCATAGGTTGCCGCCGACCCAGTCTAGCCAGAACGACCTTCAGCAAACGGAATGATGAATGACTAGGATGTCATATATATATAGTAATTCGGTAAAAATGAAACGAACCTACCATATTGCCGCTAGAAGTGATTCCTTGTGGGTGGCACGTCATCCAATTCCCCGTAGTAACTGGAGAATGTCAGGGAGTTGCTGGAAATTTCTATAGATGCACCCACCCATAGTCACCCGAAACGCTTGTCAATACATAAGTACCTAATTCAGTCTTGTTCCGTTTAGAATCTGCGCCAACTTTGTGAGTGCGAATAGGGTATATCAGCGGGTTATTTTGAGACTATACGAGTCGGGTGCTCAACACCCGTCTGGATGGGCGCTGCAAGTTCGCGGCCTACCCTCAACAGACACCAATGGTTCAATAGTTTAACGGTCCCCATTTTTCTGGTGTCGTATCCCGCAACCCAGGCATACTAGTCATCCCCCTACTGTCCATTCATATTATCCCGTGGTTCGCACAAGCCCAAGTGCCTCGTGTTTCATGTGACTTTCATGCTTCATGCACTTCTGTAACTACATAGAATTCTCGGTGTAATCCACTGAAACAAGGCAATATGAATACAACAGCCATAACGCAACATCTAACACTTTTTGACAGAACTGATCGACTCACCAATTAAACGCCGTGTTTAATGGTAGGGTGAGGTCAGTCATCACCGAGATAGGACAACTGCGCGTTGAAGAATATCTAAAACTTAATTTGGCCACCGATGTTTCCGAAACATTGTCTTCGTTGGGTTAGAAGTAGTATTTAGATTACTTGGACGGTTTTCATGGAAATGACTTAACTACAACCAACGATACCATAGCGAATTGCCCTTTAAAATAAAGCCACAATTGTCATGTCCGCCTGTTGGGATAAAGCCCGGAGAATCCACATACAGTCCGAACCCGTTGGTTTCACATACATGTAACTATGTTAAGTTTAATGCAGAACACATCGGTATACAGCGTTTGGGTTTATGTATCGTTTCCACATCACTGTTTTGTCTAGAAGTTCAACAGCTTACTAATACATTGTGTATTGGTCGGCCAGTCTGCTAAGAGGAATAGCACCTTGCTTCTCGTGTTCTAGTCAACTGGTTGGGTTGATCGTATTGTAAATGTTACCTGACGTATCATTCTGAAGAGCAGTGGTAAACGGTTCTGTCGCTGCTTCTTGCATGGTCTGTTTAGGGTAAACCTTAACATTCAATTTTCATCACGCGCTTTCCCGACTTGTGGTGCTGCAACTTCATGAAGCATTCTTCACTGGCGGCTGGAGTGCACTGGGTTGGGGATATGCTGCCCGTATTCGATTCCTTTAAAGTTGTTTACTGGGTCTCTTTGATCAGTTGAACACTTATTGTTTAATCGATGGAGGCACTTTTGTCACCTATTTCCTGTTCTTTTTATCGAACGACAGATTATGAGGCTCATGCAAACGCGGTATTCGATGTGAAATGGCTCCCTTCTGGTAACGCCTTCCTTACGGCTAGTGGCGACCAATCCATTCGATTGATCGATGCTGAACGGGGCATTGTTCAACAGCAGTTTTTCGGCCACACAATGTCTGTAAGGAGTCTGGCACTTATGCCTAGTGATATAAGTGAGTTAGGCAATATGACCAATTAAATCTGGTTTCCAAACCTCAAAACTGACAGTCAATAGATCTCAAAAACATTTTTGCCCCTTCCCCAGAGTAACCCAGCCGACTTTGTGATGCACCTTTTGTTTTGCACATTCTTCCTGCAGTTCTAGCCTCAGTGAGTGATCTGCACGGAAATACTTACTTCTGGGTGGGGATCGTACACTAGATCATGCGCTGGTTTCCCACGGTATAAAATCCAATTTGACTGAGTTTAGTCACAAGCTCGCGTTCTTCTCTTAATTTCAACCGCTAGCTTTCTGGCCGTTTACTACAGCTGGTCGTGGTGCAAGAACTTCTCTTACTTCCAACCATACTCAAACTAAAAGCTCACATATTAGTGAGCTTGTGTTCCAGCTGTCTCATGTGTGAGGGTAAGCTGGATCCTTGGAGGTGGCGAGTCGCGGTGGTCAGCGGCAAGGCTGTCCCATGTACCGATCCAGTTGCGTGGGATCGGTATCCTGACCACCCCATCAACACTCCATCTTTGAAACGGTTTAGGAGCAAGAGCAACTTAGATTATATCCGTTTGAAGCAGCGAGGAATGTATCCAAGTTGTCCTAGTTGACCTTGTTTGACCAATCGCTTTGGTCGATCGATGCCAAAGCATCAACGGCAGACTTCATCCCATACACATTTTCGAGAACATACTCTGAGAATATTTCTCAAACACCAGTGGTCAGATATTCTTATCTTGCAGGTGACACATACACACATCAGCTAGGCTGTGCAATCATAAAGTAAAACAGGACGAACAGCAGACTGGTAGATTTGAACCTTAATTTCTTTCCTATCATGATACATGCTTCAGTGTTAGTTAGTCTTCCGAGTATTGTTCAAGTGGGTTGTATGTAACTTCATGCTTTACCTGGCCCTTAGGGAGAGTGGTTGAGTCAGATACACAACTGATGCCAGTAAGAATGCCCGATTGGTTATTCTGTTGTACTCTGTTACTTGTTCCAGTTTTCGTTTTAGTCGGCGTAGGCATGTCTATCATCACCAGTTTATTTTCTGGTTCGGTTCGACGGCCACGGGTTTCTGACAATCCCGTTTTTTTTTAGATATATTTGCTTCGGCGTCTCGAGATGGCAGCATCCGTCTGTGGGACTTGCGGCTGAAGTCGGATGCAATCAACTGTAGAGGTAATTCACACATGTGTATCGGTTACACCGATACATTTGCGTATTCACCTTTGATTCGCTTAATCCCGTTCCATTGTACCTAAATCCCACTTCCATGTCTTCCACACTTTTCTCTACATCAGTGGAGTGATTCTTTATATCAACTAGCTCCCAATGTACATCCCATTTCAGGCATACCTGGCACTCCAAGCATTGGCTTGATTCCACAGTGTCATTTGCCCAATTGGTCAGGAACTACGGAATCATATAGCCCAACTTCACGACGTCCTCGCACACCGTCTCGACGAGCTTCTGTAAGTTTGACTTTTTCTACTATTTTACTCATCAAATTTCTCGCCTACTTAATCTGTCAACAAGGTTCTTTGGTTGGTTATTCTTTAATGATTACTTCCTTATCTACCGTGAATTTGCATGAGCTACAAACTCTACTAGATAGGGAACAGTCTAAAGAATTGAAATCTGTTGTGCTCTCACTCTGTCTAGTTTCATTGGGTTCACTTGTGACGTCCTTTTTATCCACCTCTGCTGCACCGTTTGTAGCAAGCACCATCACTTGTCTCGGTCAGTCTGGTGACTCCAACTATGAAATTTACCGATCGGTAGCTTGCTCGTTGACAGACTTCAACGGCCGAAGGCTTGTCATTCGTACAGTAGATCATACCAATAGCACGTTGGCATATCGTTTGCGGCTTATCGTGTGCAAATACCGCCCGTCAGACCCAAGCGTTATCTCCGTGATATCTTATCATTGCTCCACCCTTTACCCGTTAATGTTCTTCACTTTGCCTCATCCGTCAGATTCAGCCAAATTCACCTTGATTCGCTTTGTTTTCCCAAGCCATGAGTAACCTTTTTCACTTTCGATCATTTATGCTTGCTTTTAAACTCATGTATTTCCCTTTTTAGTGTGACGCACAGAGTGTAACTTCAGTCGTTTTTATGAGTGATAACACTTTACTGTCTGCTGGATCTACAGACGGGTAAGTTTGGCTTTCAACGTAGTACAACGTAGTGCACAGTCCAACTAATGCATGGTGTTTTACTTTAGCTTTTCTTTACCTTGGACGTTGCTTAAATCTGTTGGTGTGTGCTCCACTTTACTGGTCAAATTTCCTTGTGCTGATGAATTTGCCATCATAGATGGCGCATGAGGCTCTCCAGAACGTGAGCCATTTGTGCCACTCTTCACTATGACACTCGGTAAGAGAGGCTTCAAGAAGGCCACAAAGTAGGTCGCGCCTCCAACACCAACAAGACTGCTTCTGGTTTGTGGCGTTCAGATTTCGGAAAGCTGAATCCTACTCTCAGCCAGATCGAAATCATTTGGGGCACACAGTGTTCAGGGACGCAAAAGTCTGTTATTGCGAAACTGAATCGGTGGCTGGTTTAAAGCAGCCCTTGGAATTTTCAATCATGATGTCGCTCAAGCACTCATTGAAAAAGTGTTCATAGGTTTCAAATTGAATTCCTGGCGTGCATCGCTTAGCAACTCTATCAGACGACGTCATGAAGTCGTTCTACACCCATTTGTCACTTCCTGTTTGTCCGTTGTTCAGGGGATATTCCGGATTTCAAGTCTGGCTTTCGGTTTCATCCATTACGTGCTGGGTGAACGTTTTTTCCCTTGTAGCCTTAGGGTCGAGGTTGGTGAAAACATAATTGATCTGGTACTTTGTCGTAGGGCTCATATCTGACCACTTCCTTAAAAATGTTCCCTTGCTATCAGACTCCAGTACCTGCTTGACTGCAAGTGAACAGATACTTGTCACGGACGTCATGGCCGATAGATATCACCTTTGACTGTTTGATGCAACTATTCTGGAGTTTGGCTCACAAACTTCGATTTACACACCCGGTAGGGTATCTTTTCTGACGGAAAGTCTCACGAGTAATTTTTCAAGCCGCACACCCTGTGCATCAGACACGGAACCGTTTCTTATTCAGAGGGACTGTCTTATTCAGTTACGCTAACAACTACTGCAAACTTTTGTTGTTTATCATAGTTCCATCAAAATGTGGGATCTCCGACGAGTGTTCTCTACCAACAGTGGTAAAAAGAAGGTCAAGCCTAAGTTCGTTTTTCCGTACCGGGGGATTTCACAAAAGCGAAGTGGTGAGTTTGCAGCTGTTGTCCTGTTTCACCCCCCAAATCCAGTAATGATCTGGCTTTTTTCGGTCCTCCTCAGGTCTAGATACTCTAGCGTTCGGAAACTCCTTACATTCGCTGATCCAGTTACCCACGTGTGCAAATGGTAGTTCTTGATCTGCTAGTTCTTATTGGTCACATCTCTCAGGACTTTCCCTTGCTCGTATGGTAATATTGACGTAACTGTCACGCATCAATCAAAGTAAATGGATTTGGGTGACTAAACTCAACCCGTGCTTCACCCAGTCCTGCTTTAATGGTTGGGATAGGCAAAGCCGAATAGATTATGGGTCAAACATCAAGTAAGTGCTAGGCTCCAAATAGGTCTCCATTTGCCGTTCCCAGAATTCCAAATTACTTCAAGGGTTGAATGTGGCAAATCTCCCATTGGCCTATAAATGATTGCGGGAATTCTCAGGGTTGGACTTATCTGGGTCTCTGATACCAAACCAAATGGATTCAAAGCTCCGGAGCCCCCTTTACACTAGGTCATACGACAGCGAAGCCATACGATGTTGTTGTCAAGGGTGGTGATGACACTCGAGTCGACGCCCAGCATTTGAAAGCCACTTCGCTGAAATGTCCGCTTTCTGTGTAATAGAATGGCAAAAACAGTTGACAGAGCAATGGGTTAGCGTGGTGAACACTCCGCACCCTCATTTCTTTGATCACAAACAGATCGATGGCTGACCAGGCATACTGTGTGTTTGTCTGAGGCCATTCCACCTCACCTTTATTTTTGGTACTTAAGTAACTTGACGTGGTTGCACGGTAGTGAAGGCTCACTGATCTGCACTAATTTTACTATCAGTGATGACGAACAATGGAAGATCGGTGAATGATTTAGTTCAAGAGCCATCTCACCACCATAGCTAGTGTACGCGAGCCACCAATCTGGTGACGTAGCTCTTGATATCCACGCTTAATAGGACAAGTAGACTGAGTACCCTGTCATCCCCAGTTCCCTCTTCCCGAAAGCTATTGGACAACTGGGGCCTGATCGTTATGAACAGAATCAGCGGAACTAGAATACCGTGTATCCATAAGACGGAAGATTTCAGCCGGTATGGTGTCGCGGTGCGGTTGCTGTATCCACAAAAATTGGTTTCGACATGTTCCATGGGGGATAAGTAGACGACCAATGTCGTTCAACGTCACTGGAGGTATTTTCACCCGATTCATGTGCTAACTACTGCTGAACCGTACCTTGCGTAATTGTTTCTCTCGTTGTGGTCGTAACAAAGTACTTGGGCCACTTAGTTGTCCACAGTAACGCATCGTTAGTTTCGTGTCCACAATTCAGTACTCTTATTCCATTCAGGTCTGCTAGTAGGAGCTTCAGTCTTTAACGTCGAGGAACCAAGTAAACAACGTTTCTTCTGGTCGTTGGCTTGTTTGCTGAGCTGGGCAATTTGGTTTTGCCACACCAATAACCCGCAACCAAATCGCCCAGCTCAGCGAACAGGCCAACGACACGCTACGCTACCTGAGCTACCGACATTCTCCTCTATAGAAAACGTTTCGTCTTTCGGTAGTGGTTCGCAGTGCAGGATCCCGTTGACCTTACCTTTCCTAGCTTGTTTTCGACGGGTATCCTATCCAAAGATGCAAACTCCACGCGTTGACTCAGAACTACTCCAACACTAACCAAACCTGTTAATCATGCAGTCAAGTTAGTAGGGCAGTTATTGATGAAGGGTGCAAACAAATAACTGGGTTTCAATCATATGAGCGGGTTTCTGACGTACCACAACTGCTCATGTTATGACCCTCCAATCGAACTTCTTCGAGAAATAGTTCGTAAGAAGTTGGTTTTTTGGAACATTTCGAGCAGAATTGGTAGTGACCAGACCAGACCGCTTTCTCAGCATCCACCCATATCTTAATTAGACATTTGGAGGCTGTTATTAGTCTTAATTTTTGATGTTTATACACACAGTGAGTTGGTACAATAAGGGTCACTATACAGAAACAGTATTGTATAGGCAAACAAATTTTCAATTTACATGAACCATTGGCGTTGTCACGCTATCCGCCATGTCCCACAATACGTTAGATGAACTGAACAGGCAGGCTATATGAATGAAGAGTATTCCATCCGCCAGACTCTCCTTTTAATGTATTGTTAACTTCGTTTACTCGGGCGCAAATCAGCGAACCGTTCAAGCCCACTTACCTGTCACAAGAGATGGTCACTGCAATGCATACCCGAGCAGTGACGCACGATTTCGATAAGGTTTTTGTCCACGTGCATGTTACCTGAATCACCTGTTCTCAGTTGGTTCGTTACTCTGATATTCGTAAATTAATTCTTTATTTCTTATTTCTGTTGTTCCCTCAGCTGAGTTCACATCTTGTTAGTACTATCGATTATCAGTCAGTTGGCACGCTTCCTTTCTACGCTGTTACCCACTGGTTCAATAAACGATTTGGAAAATATAAAGGTTGTCTATGCCATGTATCCAAAAATTTCGTGCGGATGGCTGGAATTCCCGTCCCCTTGCAGTATAAATATGTGTCCCTGGCTGGACGAACCAGTCAGTCTAAAAACACTAACCAAAGATTAATATGTCTGCTTCCTCTGGACCCACTCCATAAGTACCAATAAGGACAAGATTTCTTATATAGGTAAACTTTTCGGGGCTCTCCCACATTTCTCCTTGTAAGTTGTGAAAAAATAGACAAGACTTCAAATCTCGCTGTTTCCCACACTGTAGTAGACAAAGGTCTGGGGATAGTCGTAGTGCGGGTACCAGCAGGTTCTTCTTCTGTACGATCAGACAAAGCTGATATCGAAAAGAGCTCAACCGTAATTTAAACTGCTGCCTCTTCGGCAGCATTAAATAACCCGTTTTCTGCGTGCATATTGTCATCGTTTCCATTTCAATCACTCCAGTGTAGGATTGATTTCGCCAACCTGTCCATATGTGTTGTTCTCATCCATTTTCATTCGAACGACCATTACGTATGTGTGGTTTTAGGGCAGTGAGGCATCGGTGTCGACACTGATGTCACTGTCTTTGATGATCATGATGTGTGGTGTATTTCACTGCCTATACCCGGTCTACCTTCAGGTTATTCGGACTTGCGACTGGATTCTCTTCGAACTCGTCTCTACGCAAACTGTCTGGATAACGTAGTGTACGAATACGACCTCACAAGACAGTCAACAAGTCCAGGTAAACCCTACTATTTCGCCTATCTTTAGTCCTTTTGGAGAATCCGAAGTAAGCACATTTCGTTAATCACGCTAAGTAAGCTCTAACTTAGATTAACACAAGTTAGACGAAAGCTTTTCACCAGGATACAGTACCTGTACTATTAGCACTTTTCGTTGACCAAATGTTATATGACCAACTCAGCTCATCGTATGCTTTATTCACCTAATTAAAATCGGATTTACCTAGTTTTTCTGTGTTATCTGAGTGTTCAAGGATATATCTAACAACCCTCCGTTTCATTCAGCATTTGTCTACACCGGTCACCAGACGGACTCCTTTTACATCAAGTTAGACCTAAGCCCGGACGACGGCTACCTCATTTGCGGTAGTTCAGACCGCCGAGCACATATCTACGCGGTTGGCCAACGTCGTCAGTGTCCAATCATGCTCTCAGGCCATAATGGAGAAGTGAGCATACCACGCTGGTGTCCAGGTGATCCGACTCGAATTGTCACGCTTTCCGATGACTCCAGGGCGTTTGTTTGGAACATGTTCCCAGCTCGTCGTTGTTTACTTCCGGAACCTGGTGAAGTATCTGGTGAGTTCATTGCTTTCTTTTTGTTTGTGATGGGATAGGTCAACACACCAAGGAGTTTCGCCGAACTACTGAATTTGGTGAATCCAGATCGCTACTCCTACTTTGCATCTCTGTTGGGAATAAAGTGTGTGGGCTACTTAGTTTACTGATGGATTTATCATTTCCATTTTTATCCACGGTTGAGAGCAGTTAACAGTAGCAGTGGCGAACCTCCAATTGGCTCCTTATTTTTAACAATATTCTCAATCTTCTATTAGACTTCATTGACTTTTTCGCCACCTACCCTGGTGAGCGCGAAGTGAGTTACGTTGCCCCAAAGACGACTGCTTGGTTTCTTCTTTTGTAAAGAGACTAACTTTGACGCGTTTTTCTGTTGTTAAATTACAGGGCTTGCCGAACGCCCATCTCCTTCCAAAATTATGATGAGTCCGAGCGAACAAACCAAACGCGTTCTCCGTTCTCCCCGTTTAACCCCAAATAACAAGCCGACTGGTTCTGTGATCACGCGTCCCGAACTCACAGGCTCACCCTCTTTGGCCGCATCCAGACGGAGGCAGTCGAACATTCGCTGTTTTTTGGAAACAATTTCACCAAAAAATCCCCAATCCATTGCAAGCACACATCGCATTTCACCGTCACAACCCATCGGGTTTACACGCCTGCGCAACACAAATTCCTTGACCGAAACTTTAGGTGGCGTGGTACAGCGTTTCCCGGGTATTTCTTCAGGATCCCAGGCTAATGTTACGGTCAGTACTCCACCTTCTGGTTGCCACGCCGCTAGTCCCGCGGCCAAGAGTCCGTCAACACCGAGCGTAGTAAGATCACGCCGAATACCCAGTTCCGATCACGAAAATTCCGATGATTCAGATATTGGTGAGTGAAATACTGATCCCGATGAGATTTCGTCGATGTTGCAGTCCCTCGTTACTTATTAACTTGGATGTTCATGTGATAACATGTTCGCTTTTCGCTTACTGATAGGGTCGTTTTCCATGCTTGTTTTTCCTTCCACGCAGAAAATTTAAGCCCAAACTCTTCAAGACATCGAATGGTTTACATCGGTCTACCTTTCGACCAGGCAGACAGTCCAGCTCTCACAAAATCTCCAATCATCTGCTGTAATACTGACTTACCTTCATTGACTCCAGAAACACCTCCTGCCTCACGAAGATCTCGAACCCCACTGGTCCAACAACAGTCTCTGTTTCACACACCTCAACAACGTGTAAGACTTTACCAGTATTGGGCACACCATTCTATGCCTGTCTTGAGTCGTTTTTCAACTGATACTTTATCGTATTCTTCTTTCAATCAGGTCATTGATGAACGCTCCCCACGATACTCACGAAAACGGCAAGGGCCCGATAGGTATCCGGATACTTCGCCAACTAGTACCAGCTCACGATTCACTGTCAGTCTACCAACCAGTATACCAATTGAAAAACGTCGCAGACTAACAGCTTTTACGAAAACCGAACACCCGTCGTCCCCATCACAACCCGATTATGCTGCACCCTTGACTCCTACTGTAAGTGGTCTAAATAGCGCGACTGTCATCAAAAGAGGTGTTGTTGCTTGTCCGTTTTAAAGTTATCACAAACCTATCGTTTTGCTGAACCAACCTCATATTTTTAAAGTTGTTCAAGTGAGTCCAGAAAGTTGTTAACGTAATAGCACCGCTTGTCCAAGGGAAGCTCCGAGCAGTATCAAAATTACTGTGCGACAAGATTTTTCTCGTTAGTGGCTGGCTTTCTAGTGGATCCCCTCAAGTAGTCTCAGAGGTGGACAACTGTAGCAGGTTTTGGCTCTAACTGCTAAACAAAAGCAAGTGCAATTTTTGCCAAGAACTCGACTAATCTCGGAATAATGTGCGTTGCTTCAACCCATTTTCCAGTTAAGCTTGTAGTCCAGCGACGTGAGCACGATAATCGGCTGGTAAATCAAGTCACACTCCAAAGAGACTGAGTTTTTATTGTGGTACAACACAGTAACCTATAAGCTATACTGGAGGTTGCCCATGTGGCATTCACAGATTTTTTTACCAGATTGGAAAGTCAAACAACTGTGATACCTTGTCTCCCGAAAACTGATCTTCTATAGTAATCGTTAATCAATCAACGACGCCCTGTAATCAGTCAGTCAGAGACTTTGCTTGAGGACCCTCGTGTGTAGGTCTGAGAGTCCTGTTGTTATCTCCACCCACCTACCGGTTTTAAACGATGAGCACCGTGGTGCTAGCTGCCCCCTTCCCCTTCCTGCGCTTCAACCAAGGAGCTAACGGGTCACATAACCATCGACCACCGATGGCGAGACTTAGTTGTTTGCTGCTGTCCATCCTGGATATGCTCACAATCATCAGCTGCAAGAACCGCTTACTTGTCGTACGATGGTTACAGCTGCCACAGTTTACTTCGATGATTTGAGGAAGTGTGGTTGGAGGCGTCAGTTGATGTGATTGATTCGTAAACATAGCATTATCAGTGGACTTTTAATTGAGGAGATTGGGAGGGAGTCATGCACTGAAAGCAACAGCTTGGATGCATGAGCGCCAATTGAGGGCGCGACTGGACCATGTCTGAAAATTTCTCTAACCATTGTTGCGTCCCCTCTCAGGGGCCCCATCCTAGGAAATGACAATGACCAGCACAGCTGAATTTGCCAGTAATTGCTTTCATACTCCGCTGCCAAGTCATTGCTTGACCTGCCCTGACCAGTTTTCACCCTTCACGTGATTGTGCGAAAAGAGCCCTCCTAGGAAGTCGGTCGACTGGTATACGCACTCGATCGTCTCAGTTGATATAAGGCACGAATGTTTTCGATAGCAAGAGCTTCCATCTCCCGAACTTTCGATGTCCACCAGAGCTCTCGGTCTCCCCTCGGCTCTTCACTATTTCGTATTTGAAGGTTTTGCGTGCGACGTCGTACTCGTTGCTTGCTGGTTTGATTTGATTTTGATTACTTGCAACCTATGTTTACATTTGCCATGACGGGGTTGCGAACAGTTATTGATAATTTACCGAGAAAAATTGTGATTCTCTAAAACTGTTTTATAGAACGTGGTCTGTTCCCTAGAGCGGGGTGAAACCAAACCAGGCGAATGAACAGTTTTCATATGCCTCTTCATTTATCCTGAATTTCGGAGTTTGGACACACTTTTGCGGTGTCCGCGCTGGAGCCCAGTCCAGGTGAACGAAAGCTGACCACCTCAACTAAGTTTGTGTAGTACGACGAAACGAACATCATCACTATCGACATCAGCGTTCAAAACTGATGCTTCGCTGCTGCACCGGTGAAACGACCTTAGAGACATCAAGCTAGATAGAATAGATTGTTGTGCTTACTACCAAACACTGGCCATTCTTCCGGGCTTACCCGGTAACCCATCGTTGGGGTAGTCACCTTGTACATATGGGGAGCACCGCGCGAACCGTTGGCTACTGTTTGGCTAAGTTTCCAATGACAACCGCCATAGAGTTTTACTTGCGATATTCACTGTGGAGAATCTCGGTAGGAAAGCAGTAACATGATGTTCGCTTTCCCCCTCCCTTCAAAGGATTAGTGGTGTTAAACCATCTCAACGTAACAGAGGTGCATGCGAATTCCCCGACAACCATCGCCATTTCTCAATCCCTGTTTTTGTCCATCCTGAAAAGTGGTTTCCATATGCACTTCATTCATGGATACTTTATCATTCTACATTGAGGGACGAGATGACTCGGTTGTTAGAGCGCAAATTTACTGACCGGAGAGTCCTTGGTTCGAACGCGGTCCCTGCATCTGGATTTCTCCTGTTTAGGTTTGGGCAACCTCTTGTTATCCCAGCCCTCGTGCTTCCTTCGGATGGTATGACAGCCAGGCACCACAAGGGTGTTACAACCGAACAATTTCGTCATTCTCCCCTACTTGTTTCAATGCCTCTGAACTGTGTCGTGGCTTTTTATCCGCTTTTTAACACACCGGTTTCTACCTAATTAAATTCCGTTTCGTCCAAGAATTTAGCGCCGCTGCGATCGTCCTATTTTCGCTGCATACCTTCCTCAGCTTATGTGTCTACGGTTGTATTCCCTTCCGCAGGCTGTCCGTCGGCGTCGCATGACTACCTTGGACCGAAGACCCTTCCGTTCCATCACAGAATACTTCCGACGAGACGAATGAACAGTTTCACATATTTAAGACCCGGTGTTCTTTTTAATTTGACACAGCCAGATTTTTATCCTGAATTTTGTATATATCTATTTTATATGGCCACATTTTTTATTCGACCGAATAAAACATCATGAAGATATGTCCGTTATTACACAAAGTACAGGAATTCTCCGAGTCGCTTTTCCCGCTCCTTTGTTCTAACAAATTCGGGACGTCGGAGGCGTACATGCACAGCGTAATTGGATCTGAATATAGGGATGTTAACATGAGCCTTTTATTTGCCCACACTCCGTGCATCTTATTACCGATTTTCCGGCGAAAGTTCGGACGTACAGTGTGCCCCATGTATCTCGAGAAATTCACGGCCACCATGTCTCAGTGGAAACCTCCACCCAGTGCTCTATGGTCCCGTTGGAGCTCCCGGCCGTTTTCTTAGATTTACTTACCAATATTCCTCAAACTGCGTTGTCTTTGAGCAGTGAACTTACTGAGGGTAAAGTGCTGGAAGTGTGCTGTTTGCGCAACTGAAGCCACAGCCTCATGATATCTAATCTGCTTCGGCTATATCGCTAACAAACAGGTATAAACGTGAGTGCTTCTTCCGGCCTTTGGGATGGAGAGAAGTTGGTGTTCGGTCTATAATTCCCGGAATCCACAGCGCAAGCGAAAAAAACCCACATGAGCGAGACAATATCTAAGGTCTAGTAGTCCAGAAAAAAAACAAGCAGCTCAACGCTGCGTGCGTAACCTTTAAGGCAAGATATTGTCTTCGACGCCAGACGGTATGGTTGTTCAAAAACTCGTCAGTTTCAAGCGTCCAAAGTTAGACCTCAAATGTGCGTGAAGTAGAACGTAGTCCTTGAATGAACATCGGTTAGACTACCAATATGCTGAAAGTGGTCCACTTCATTTCACTGAGGGAATTGCGTAAGCTGGAAAAATTTCACTCCTTGTGATTCCACCGTAATTAGACGCTTGTTCCCAGCATCTGCCCATGAGGGCAGTAGTAGTCGCTTTTACCCTGTCAGCTCAGCGACGGGTGTATCTATTTCCGAACACTGTTCAAAGCACGCATCCACTCAATCGAATTATACGAAGTGACCAAACCGTACGCACAACACTCCTTAGCCAAAGGTCTTCGCACTGAGCCCAGAAAATTGCAGAATACCAACGAGGCTTCCTCGCACTGAGTAAAGCCCTGCTCATCAGTCGGTTGTACACGCGGAACACCCACTGAGATTGACCTTGATGGCTGGTTTCCGTTTCGCACCTGCAAAACTTAACAGTGGCTAGAGCGCGAATATACTACCCGGAAGTTCATGGTTCACACCCGACCTCTGCCCCTCGACTTCTCCTGTCCAGGCTTGAGCTGCTTGACAGTATCCCAGCCCTTGTAATTCCCTCGGGTGGCAAGGCAGTTAGGCATCGAAAGAGTGCTACAGCAGAACGACGAGGACTATTTAATGAGAAAGACGCACTCGATAACGTGTGGTATCAAGTGGTACTGGCAATGCTATTTGTCAGAAAGCACAGGGCGAAACTACTTAGTTTTCGCCAAATAATGTTTTTATGTGAAAAAACTAACTGCGAACAGAGGATAGTGTAACCCAGAGGAGATATGTTACTACCGTTAAGAGATCTCGGAAATTTCCTGATTTTTTCACCTACTATGAGATAAGAATAACGTCTTGACAGAAAAGCTTTTTGGATAATCGATGGATCTTTGGCGCACTCACATAAGCAGTAGAAGCACGAATACTTAAGCCTTGAAAGTGGGGATAGACAGAGAACAAGGAAAGAATAGTACTTGGTAGATCTGCGTAAGTTGGTGCCTGAATTATTTTCAGTTATGGAGGCAATCCTGAGCTAACTGTACCAGTCACACTAAGGCCTGTGAAAAAGTGCCATCATACAAATGTACCTATTTATCAATTCTTCCAGAGCCTAATTGTCCCGTTCCCACCAAATGGTGTTCTATGGAAAGTTTATCAGTTTCTAGCCAGATTGCCCGAACGAGTGTGGATGCCTAGGCACCTCGGAATGTTTGTAGCAAGCTAACACTAAGTCCCTTTTCTCCCATCCACTTTCCAAGTCATGGCTGTACAGCAATGAATCATCGATGTTGAGCACTGACACTATATAGTCCGTCAAGATGATGATCCCAAGATATATAATACCATAGAACGTTTCATATCCTCATATGTAGTCGCGCTCCGCTGAAGCGCGCAATGAGATATCTTTTGAACCGGGATTTCAAAACTTTCCGAGCTGCTTTTTGTTGTTCACCCACAAGGGAACGAACCTCGCACGTTACCAGTCTACTGTTTAATCTTGATTTGATTTTCCTTGTTCTGTACCTCACAAATGAAACCTGTTATGCTTACCATTATAAGGTGTATTATTCGCCGAAACATAGTCTAGATTCTCAGTGCTTTCCCAACGTCCTAGCAATCGAAGATGCAAACGCGTACTACCAGGCGATAGCCGTTTCGATTCTACTTATTTGTTTTCCGTCCCCGGACATGTCACGCATTTTTATGACGTATCTGCCGAGAAAATGTTTCAAGAAGCAGTTCCGGACTAAAACAATTTGACTTAATTCAAATAAATGTTTACCCAAGAGATTCAGACAGTGCCATCCGAAATGGTTAGAATTCTAAACAAAACACTGAAAACTATAGTTTTATATAACTATAAAATTATAGTTTTCAGTGTTTTGCGGGTGGGTGCATTCAGCTCTATTCCGTCATCATGTTCTACTTGAATCCAACGTAACTTTCGTGGCCTCTGATTGTCTGTAAATACCCACACTTGCCAGGGCTGCGTTTCCATTGTTGTGTCTGTGGTTATGGTAGAAACCAGCGCGGAGAGATGTGATTTAAATTCGGACACATCTTTGGGTAAAAACTCAAATAGAGCTTTACTTGCATGTCAAAGGCTGAGGTCTTGTTCTCAAGCACTGACTGGCCTTACTATACCCTACAATGCGTACACAATCGCTTTCACCAATGAAGTTGTTTGAAAGTGCCCTTGATTCGGACGAAGGATATCCTGTTGAGGCAGGACCGGCACCCTATAGCGTCCACAAAGTTTTCCTTTTAGTTCACGCCGCTATTCGGCGCCGGCGGAAACGACGAGAACACTTTCTCCCTCATTTACACAGATGACTTTTCTGTCGTTCTTAAGAGATCTTAATGTAACTACTACCCTGCTTTGAAATGGATGGAAGTCTGATCAAGCTAACCACCAACTACTTCACGAACAATAGACATTTTCCGTGCGACGGTCCCCAGTTGACATTTTGCACCCGACGCATGCGAATGCAGCTTTATTTCTTGTTGTTCTTCACTATATGAACGGGTCAATCACATTTATAAATCTCTTATTCGGTGCAAATACACTGGCTGAATTGATTAGTTGACGTTCGCGGACGCGAAGCACAACAGCGCCTATAAACTGCACTTAGTTAACTTATCAGCTGACCACACGAAGCACCAACTTCGCAAGTGCCCCAAATAATCAGGACATTTCGTATTCCCTTAAAATATCCTATTCATTAGGTTTCAGTATCATTTTTGGTGCACTCTTTTCCTTGGTTATTCCATCGAGGACTGCTCCACCGGACTGCAAGGGCCAACTTTTATGCTCTTGGAATGCGAACAGCCTCTCTTTCTTTTAACCTTATCCGCAGTTTTTGTTTGTACCTTTCTCCATCAGATTTACTGTTTCCATGTCCAACCGGAACTCTAAAAGTGTGTGTATAGTCTCACCGTCAGGTACTGGATACATCTCTAGGTGCATCTCTAGTCTTATAAACCGCATTGTTCAGCTTGTGGAATTCAGGTACTTTGATCCTTCCCCTATCTGTATCGAAAATTCCTTTCTCATGTCTCATTTTGTTGAACCGCTTAGCGAACCAGATTCTGTTCTGGTACGTGTCCCTAACACAAGATATTACCCGCGAAAAGGTCGACTTACCGGAACTCTGGAACCCAATCCATTGCGCACAGACCTCGAGTCCCACATTTCACCCGAAAAATAAACTGAAGATGCCAAGTCTTGGTCATTGTTTAAAGGAGTCAAGATCTAGGATGCACTGTGCTTGACTAGGAACGTTGATTTATTTGCTCGAAAACCCCTTTCCCGTGATCTGAGACCCATTTTCAGATGTGATAAGCCGTCGGCAGATAGACAACTGACATTGCAACTTACTGATAAAGGGTGGTCTTGGTCCTTCACTCCATGCATGTGTAGTGCAGTTTCCTGAGGAGCATGACTATGATAGCAGCATCGGAAAGCTACAGCCAACATCATCGATAGTAATAACAGTTATCCAATCTTCGCCGACAATAGATGGGCCCTATGTAAGACCAGGCATTCGTTCCAGTTTTTCACGCTAGAGAAACCGAACAGCCTCCATCGAGAAGCAAAGATCGTCATGGGTAGCAACACATCAGCTGTAGGTACTGGTGTGTACGCATTAGCGGAGAGTGATAAGAGAGGAGGGTAATAAGGTCTATGAGTACTCAACGCAAAAGTTGTTATACAGCGTTATCTCTCTTCTACAAATGTTCCCCTCGAAGCTGATTTGCATTGAAGGCACAGGCACAACGGTATTTGCGCAACCAATGCGCCAAGCGACATCACCACCGTACACCGGTTTTCATTCAGGCCAGTCTTTCCTCCCTCCGGATCATCCAACCTAGTCCCGTTTCATTACACAAAGTACAGCGTTGTTGCAATAGACAAAGGCTGAAGTATGGTTTGAAGCGTGCGGAGTGATTGCTCAGGAGCTTCCACTACAATGAAGTGCTTTATGACCAATGAAAAATTGCCCTATCACAGAAACAGGATTAGTTCGTCTTTTCAGGTTATCGAATATTACGGTCGTGAAATATATCGCCGTTTGTAGCTGTGTCAAGGTATGTGGTGCGCATGCGCAATCAAACCAGGAAACAAGTCCAATCGGTCATTCTACAGGCACGAAAATAAACGGACCGAAACCGTCATTAAAATGAATACCCCGCCATCCAAACCTGACGAGAGCGATAAGACTACCAGCAACCGGTGAAATGCGATTGGGCAGTTCTGGCATAGACTATATTCTTCCTAGTGCGCAAGAACGGACTCTGAGGACAGTCCCTAAAATTCCGGAAAACTTCAGTTGTACATGCACTATTATTGCTATTCCGAGCGGTACTGATTTCAAACACTTTCTAGTCGAAGACGGACAATTGGTCCAAGTACTGTCGGACGCAGAAACCGTGGAAAACGCTAGGATCAATGACGGACGCTGACGGAAAGATGATCAAGTTGAATCCCTCAACGAGTAATATGAACAATCCCAACAGCCTGGTGGGGTTAGTAAATGTTCTTTTATTTTAACAGTCGATTGGATAAAAGCATGCAGAAGTTGAAGCGAACTGAAGAGGAATAAACAGCGCACATCAGAGATTTGTTCGAGTCTTGCGTTAACGCCATCTGTTTCCCGACAAACGATTTATCCCGCATATGACTGCTCGATATTGAAGTAATCTTACAGGCGACACAAGTATCCACACTTCAAATTTTCACACGAATTGAGCCCTATAGGATCAGCAAGGGTGCTTCAACTGCTTAACATACGAACGGTTTTCCGTTCATAACTCCATCCTAAGTGGGTTTTATCATGATCTCATCATAGCCAGTCAAACAACGCAACCATCGAAGTTGTCACTTCACTCGCTCAATCACCTGATTTCAATAGAACTGTTGAATAGGACAGATGGGAAAACAGGATTAAACAGCATTCGTTACGCAGCTCCGCCAGATCGATTCGGGCTGGGCCTCTCGACTTCCCGTGTCCAGACTTGAGCAACCAAAGCAGTATCCCAGCTCCCGTACTTGCTTCGGGTGGCATGATAGTTAGGCACTAAAATTGTTACAGCTGAAGGATGAGATCTGCAGTGCATCAGTGCAGCCCAGTCACTCCTCAATTCATCAGCAAGGCGAGGCTAATGCTCGACCGTTGTGTTACTGAGCTTATATGGATCAATTAACTGCGAATTAACCGTCTTATTGTGGGGTTACCCACAGCCAGAAGTAAAACGCCTCACCGATTGTTTTTTTAACGAGCCCTTAGAGCTTCAGCACTGAGTGAAATGTAGTGGCTCGATCGTCATCTTTACCATGGTTACATAGGCGAAACACGAACGAAATGCCTCGACACCGTAATACAGTCACATTGCGTAGCAAAACAGTCGATGCCTGGTAACTGGCGGACCACGATGTTCTGACCGCGCGTTTCTCCTAGTCGATTCGTTGTACTAACTAGTGAACAAAATAACCATATACAACGAACCCGTGTGTTCAAGTGTAGATCATTCGCGGATTTTTCTAGAACAAGTAATGTTATTCTGTGTGATATTACGCAAAATTGATGAAAACATTCGGAATGCAGTTACAGATTTCATCTTTGGAGCTCATCAGGCATGCCCATTTCTCAAATTTCTCTCAATTTTCTTTCGTGCGCGAACAAAATCACATATAGAGAAGAACTGTCGCTCACAAACTGGAGTTGGGTTAACAGGAGACTCAACTGAACTTGTCGTCACCAAACAAATGTGTGGCGAGAGCGGTAATACAGGGGGTCAGCTTAATCCCATCCGTAACGTTGTCTTGTGGTGGTTCGCGAAATCTGGATTCGAGAGCAGCAAGCGGGATTCTGGCCTGCTAGAAGTTGCGTCGAACAAATTTTCACACTGCACCAGGCGCTAAAACAGGGTCATATGTACAAACGACCCACAATTTTGATATTCCTGGATTTCCAAGGCGAGCTCGACTCGGTTGACGTTCATTCTCTCTAAAACGCTTTTCCAGCAAGGAAAGTGGACGCAAGAAGCCCTTTGTGTCCTCGGATTTCCGGGCGTGTGAGGGTACACGGGAGCCCTCGAAAAGCTTCCGCACACAAAGCGGTGTCCGTCATGAAAGCCTACTCTCAGCAATCCTATTTAATTCAGTGGTTGACGAAATAATGAGACGAAAGCTCTTCAGAATACTGCTGTCCAAATAACTGATGATGAGAACCCAGACTATCTGGAATACGCAGACGATATCGTGATTATATTCGAAGAGGCAGTTCTTTTGGATGAACTGACCGAATTCATCCCTTCCTTCTGCATGCGCTTTGCAACCATCTTCACCACTATTAACACCAATAAACCAGCGATACATACGGGTGCATAACTGCGCTTTGCACCCACATGTGTAAGGTCATGCTCCTGGACAGGCAGTCACTGAACACTTACAATCCAAGGAAGGACATTCGGAGGTGTGGAGAATTTTACGTATCTTGAAAGTTGTATCAGTCCTAACTGTAATGTGACAGATAAGGCCAATCCACGAATCTCTAAGGACAAGATGGCTTTTGCCAATTTAAGACAGCTATTGCGTCAAAGCGATATATGCTTGAATCTCAAGGGACGTGCATCATACTGCGGTACACACGGTTTTGTTATGGCTGTGAGATATGGTCCTTTCTGCAGCTGAATTGAGATGCCCTCAGATCTTTGACCACCGCTCTCCCAGAACTGTAACCCATTTAGGCTGATGTCGGCGAACGCGTGGTGAGACCATTAGAAAGCGAGTGTTCGGTTGTGTAACGAAGACTAATCGAAACATGTATCCAGCCTTGGAAGCTGCGTCGGTCAGGCCATGTTTTATGAGTGCTATTACATTGTTTAATCGTAGACAGTGCTGTTTTGCGTTTCTAATTCGGAGTGGCGCAAGCAGTGGCCAACCTTTAACCTGGTAGAGGGGTATGAAGGATACAATGAATGACTGGGTCGGTAGCCTTCCCATCTGGGGACCGCAAGATCCCCACTGTGTCTGGTTAGATAAGCTGCAATATACGGTCACTAATCGATGTCAGTAGCGCTCCCACTGTCCGTTCCTACCTAGATTGCTTGAATGATTGTCTGAAGGTGTAAGCACCCCAAGATGATTGTGGTAGATTAGCACAAAATCCCCAAAGTCCCTCATCTTCGCAACAAGGCTTTCAATTGAATTATTGATTTACGGCAGCAGAGCATCAGTGTTGCACACTGATGGTATGCCCTTGATGATGACCACAACTAATAATCGTCCGATGAAATCACCGTAAACTGAGAATGAAATAACACATCAAGAAACACCCACCAACGTACAACCATGAACTGCACATAAACCAATATACTAATGCCAAATCGGACGTCGCGTGGTGCCACCAAACGGATCTCCTTACTCGCTGCATACAGTAGGGTGGGTAAGCGAAAACGGGCTACTACTGACGTCTCCGTTCTTTCAATTTCACACTTTTTCTTCCCCCTCTCCCTACCCCATTAATCACCCTCCCCATGTAGGCTCTGTACTTAGGACTGATGACTCCGTTCGTCCTACGATGGTTCTGCAAACAACATCTGCGCGTCATTCGGCGCCGACATCCTCGAACATCTCGGAATCAATCTTCAAAACTAAACGCGTCTATCTGGCCGCATTCAATGTCCGCCATCTGAAGCAAGCAGGTCAATAAGCTGCTCTTCCTCTCACACAGGAATCAAATGGCATTGGTGTGTGCTGTGTCTCAGAAACAATAATTCAAGATGCAAACACAGTAGTTCCGCTAACCGCTCCATCACTCTCCACTAGCTTCCGGCTGCGTACCTCTGGCGATACAAAGACTGCAGCGGCAGGATGTGCAGGGGTTGGTATTCCCCAAATTCACCGGGCGGAAGCACCCTTGCTTGACTAGACACCCGTTCATAGTCGTCTCTGCGCGGTTCGTGTGGCATCTGTGAAGGAGTCTCACAAAAGGGAAGTTGGTCGATGTGTGGTAGTCGTGTGTCTATGAATCAACTGGCTGTAGCTTTGACACCAACACAGACAAGTTTTATGACGCCCTGAATGTCCTATTGCGGCGAGCTAAAAGCTAAGATATCGTTGTGATTGCAGAAGTTCTGAATGTACATGAGGGCAAGCTCAGTGCATCTGAGACTCACTTAAGAGGTCGACATTGGTTGGACTCGGTAGGTAAGGACTATGGTAAACGAGT